ATATGCCCACCAAGGAACCAGAGCAAAATCCTTTCACCCCAAGGCACAACACCCTGACCCCCATTTAGGAAGCACATTCCAAACCTCCAAGCTCAGTCCACACTCAAATGGGTGACTGGGCTGTCCCTGGAGCCACCAAAGTGTCACAATTCCCATTTGTTCAACGGGGCCTGAGAGGAAAAAGTGGAATCAGGATCCAGAGCAGCCCCACAAGGCACAGAATGACCAACTGACACACCCTGTGCTTTTCCAAACCTCCGGGAAGCTTCGGAGTGGAGCCCCAGGCCTGTGACAGAAGTAAAGCCCAGACAGACCATCTGCCCCCTTTTAGGACGCTCTGAGCATCCCTTTTGTATTCAAATGACCCCAAATGACTTTTCTAAATTAAGAAACCGCGATGCTGTGCTTGCCTCCCTCCCCCCTCAACACATTCGCTCCTGACACCTTCTTTTCACCTCATTTTTAGGGCATTTGCCTCAGTTTTCAGGCAGGAATAAAGACGTAAAGAGGATTCAGGGATGTGAAACTCCTGCAGGAGAGAAATGAAGATATCTGAGAGAGGATGTGCTGTTGTGGCAGAGCCAGATGCTTCAAATCATCCAAACCCTAATATGGAAAAACACATCTATTTCAAGACCCCCCCAACCCCCCCCCCCCCACAAGATAGGTTTTAGATGAGAAATAATTTGGGAATGATATTGAAAATGATATCGCTGCTGCTGCTGCTGCACTTCAGTCCTGCCAAGAGCATTCCATAATTAATAACTCCTTCAGATGGAGCGACTTTGCCTTGGATTAAACATTTAAATCCCTGTCTGTGCAGGGGAGACAGGGGCAGATTTCTCCAGAAGCCTCGCAGCTACACACTGATGGATATTTATATTCCAGATAGGTATTTTTAGCAGGAACTACAAGTCCTCTCTGTGTTTGATGACATCAGAGCTCTGTTTTACATTAACTATCTGGACTGCAAAAAATATCCCGAGCTTTTTTTTCCTCCTCTTGGAGTTTTGCAACAGTTTCTGCCCTTGACTTGTCTCATCTCTGTTTCTTTTGTGTTCATCTGGATTAATGCACATTCCAAGAGGTTTTTGTTTGGTTTTTTTTTCCCTCTCTTACTCCAGAAGGAGATAAAATACATAAAGTTTTTTAAAAAAGTCAAGCAGCCAAAGAGCTCCTGGTGTTTCCCACCTGGGAGCTTGAGCCAGGCTGCAATCAGGGCCTGCTGAGATAAACGTGGCTGCACGTGGGGTGTCCGGTGTCCTGCTGTGGAAAACACCTGGAAATTATCCCTGCTGGAAAACCCAGCCCTCTAAATATCAATCCTGCTGTTTGTGCGTCTCCCACAGCCCCAGGGATGCTTCCATTGGAATCCTGCCCAAGTCAAAACAGCAGGATCGAACCTGACCCAGTTCCAGGGAAAACCGGGTGTTCCGCGATTCCAGAGGACGGAATTAACTTTTGGAATTGCCGCTCCACCTTCAAGGCTCGTGGAGCCCTCAAGGAAAGGCCACTCAAAGCAGGCACAGCTCCCTGATGGTTGGCTGGAGGTGGGATTTCCCACTTGGAATATCCTCACTGGTGTGGGTCTGCAAACACCTCGCTGGAAGTTTAGTCTCTGTTGTTCTTTGCTCTTTGATTTCCAGATGGACAAAAGCACTTGGAGATTTGCAACCAAGAGCAGGTGGTGAAGATCAGGAAGAAATTCTTCCCTGGGAGAGTGGTGGGGAGGGGCTGGAACAGAATTCCTAGAGAAGCTGTGGCTGTCCCATCCCTGGAAGGATCCAAGGCCAACTTGGAGCAACCTGGGATAATGGAAGCTGTCGCTGTCCGTGGCAGGGAACTGGACGATCTTTAAGCTCCCTTCCCACCCAAACCATTCCATGATTCCATGATCTGCAGGGCTGCACATCTGCAAGGCTGCCCCACGTCTGCAGAAGGGCTGGAAAAGGCAATTCCTTGGCCAAATAAAGCACAAACCCCCCAAGGAACGCCCTGAAATTTGGAGATAAAACCTGTGGATGTGCACAGAAAAGCTCCTGTTTAAACCAAGCCCTCCGAGGGACGAGTCAAATCCTTCAGCAGAGCACCATCTTCTACTGTGAAGCCTCTTCTTGCAGGGCCAGGAGGCTGCAGGTCTTTTTGTGGCCTTTTGGAGCCACATCTTTCCCTGTCCTATTTAATTCAGCCTAAATTTAAACTTCTCCCTCCGCGTGTCCACTCGACCCAGTGATGTAAAACTCGGCCGAGTCCTTTGATTCCCCCGGCATTGCCCTGGGTTTGTGGGGCAGTTTAAGTCCTAAGGACCAAACAGGAGGATAAATAATAGGAATAACCAAAAAAAAAAGAAGCAGCAAAATCACATTTTTCAAGAGCTCCCAGCCTGTGGTTTGTGGCTCCCACGGTGTGAGCAGGTGATTATTAAAAAGGACATTTTGTGCCCCCTGATGCTCCCTGGGAAGGGTTTTTTTCACCTCAGCTAATCAGGGAATGTATTAAGAGGGTTTTGAAGATAAGAAAAAAAAATCTGATTTTGAGGCTGTTTTGGCGGCAGTAGAAAAAAGAGGAGGAAAAAAGGAGGAAACAAAGGGGGAAAAAAGGAGGAAAGAAGGAGGAAAGAAGAGGGAAAAGGAGTAGAAAAAGGAGAGAAAAGGAGAAGAAAGGAGAAGGAAAAAAGGAAGAAGGAGGAAAAAGGGAGGAAAGGGGGGGAAAAAGGGGGAAAACGGGGAAAAAGAGGGGAAAAGGGGGAAAGAGGAGGAGAAAAAGGGGGGAAAAGGAGGAGAAAAAGGAGGAGGAAAAGGAGAAAAAAAGGAGGGAAAGGGGGAAGGAGAGGAAAAGGGGGAAGGGGGGAAAGGGGGAAAATGGGGGGAAAGGAGGGAAAAAGGGGGGGGAGGGGGGAAGAGGAAAAAAGGAGGAAAAAGGAAGAAAAAAGAAAGAAAAGGGAGAGAAAAAGGAGAGAAGAAGGAGAAAAAAAGGAGGGGAAAAGGGAAGAAAAGGGGGGAAAGGAAGGAAAAGGAGAAAAAAGGAGAAAAAAATGGAGAAAAAAGAGAAAAAAGGAGAGAAAAAGGAGAAAAGAAGGAGAAAAAAGGAGAAGGGGGAAAAGGGGGGGAAAGAAGGGAAAAAAGAGAAAAAAGGAGAAGAAAACAGAGAAAAAAGAGAAAAAAGGAGAAAAAAGGAGAAAAAAGAGAGAAAAGGGAGAAAAAAGGAGAAAAAAGGAGAAAAAAGGAGAAAAAAAAGTAGAAAAAAGTAGAAAAAATGAGAGAAAAAGGAGAAAAAAAGGAGAAAAACGAGAAAAAAGGAGAAAAAAGGAGAAAAAAAGAGAAAAAAGGAGAAAAAAAGGAGGAAATGGTCTCTTCCAACCTCCTGTTGCCTCGGTGCCGAGTCTTTTTCTCTTTGCCTCCTGCAGGAGAAGCTGCCCCATGAAACCCCCCAGTTCCCCCAGTGCTGTCCCAAATGACCCTCCTGTAGCCACTGGGTTGTTCTTCACCCTCTGCCACCCTTCTCCCACTCCTTTTCCAGCAGGAAGAGCCTTAAATCTGCCTCTTCCAAAGCACATTTTTGTGTTTCCGCCCTCTCCGGCACAGCGGGCCCCCAGATCCGCCCTTCCTAACCCGTCCTCCCTCGCTGGGGGAATCCGAGCACCCAAGAAAGATGTTACAGGCTGAAAAACCAGAGGATCCAACTTTATTTTCCAGATTCTCACCCAGGAGGGAAGTCACGCCCTCCCTGGATGCAGATCCTGCCCCATCCACGCGGGCTGGAGGGAAGCTCAGCCCGGTTTAGCACAGGAACGGCCACTGGGGACACCCCGAACACAAAAAAGATGTGATTTAAGGGTGGCAGTGACGGTGATTTGCTTCTGGCCTGGGATCAGGCTGGATTTAGAGCAGGGAAACCGGGAACAGACGAGTAGGAAGCAGAAACTGGTGCTCAGTGTCTGTGAGGGTGGGTGGAATATTGGCGTTGGAGTAACTCCCCATTATTCTCCTCTCCATGGCGTTTTTCCTCTTGGATCATCGCAGCATTCCAAGGGTGTTTTGGGGAAGCTGTCGGGGTTTTAGGGAGAACAAAGGGGCTCCTCAGCCCCCCTGAGCCCCTGAGGATTGTACAGGGACCCTCTACCAGGGAATGCAAAGGTTGGCAGTTTTCTTGCAGATGGTGCTGAGGCAGAGCTTGAGAAACGAGTTCCCTGTGCAAGGAGGAAAAAGAGTCCCCCCCCC